GATTTGCCTCTGCTTCTTCTAAATATAGATTACACGCTTTTATTGCTCCCTTTCACAAGAGCCAGCAAAAATGATGCTAAACTAATTTGCCAAATTGAACTGGCTCATTTCCCAAACATTAAGACAATTAGTTTACCCCACTACAAGATGGATTTAATTGGATAGCTAAGATAACCATTGGTGCATTTGCATCTATTCAAAGTGGATCATAGTACATTGTTCTTAGGCAATAAACTGTTCACTGACAAAATAATATGCTAACCGCAGAGAGAAATAAACCCCCAATTGATTTTCGAATTGTATCCATCAATAATAATATTTCCTTACTAGATAACCGCACAACTAGAGTATTCAGATGGGCAAAATGGTGTGGATCATGACACGTTCAAGCTGAACTGACAACTTTTTGGTTAAAAATGGAAGTGTTGAGCCATAAACAGCAGATTTTCTCCCTGATCAGACCTGAATTAACCAGGCTTAACTTGGATGGTTGCAGGAGGGTGAGGGGAAAGACTGCAATTGGACTCAGCATTTGACCGCTTGCTCTGACTGCCACTCTTATAAAAGGAACAAAATTATATATTTTTGCACAATTCATTGCTTTCCACTGATTTCCAACTGGAACATTGAAACTTATTGTAGCATCCTTACTGACAGCTTGCTGACATCAGCTAACTCTGTGACTTTCTGGTCTGAGTAGCTCAGTGATATGCTAGGCAGTGTCTTTAACTGCTAGAGTGTGTTGTTGAAAGGCCCAATTAGCTTTGTTCCCATTGGCACTGCTCATGTAACAATTGTCCCTGCTGTTCAGCCTCCTTGCTCTCAGCTTTCTCAGGTTCTTCTCTATTATTCACAGTTATCTCATTCTGTTGCAGTAAACCTGCTGATTGTATGAGTACCTGGTGGACATTCTGAGCTTGGTCTGCCCTCTGTTGTGATATACCCAACAAATGGTTGCTAGATCATGCCATAATGGATACAACACCTCTTTACTGTTCACTTTTTTTTACTGCTGAGGTGAAGCTTTGAAATCCTTCATTAAACTCACTGATTCACTAACTTCATTCAATACTCACCTGTCAACATATCTTCTGTAGTGTTCTCCCTAATTGCCTTTACTGAGGTCACAATAAACGGATTGGTCTTTTTCCTGAATTTTCACAAGGATTTAAAACTCCTAGGGGGCAGGAAACCCAAGGGCGATTTGTCTTTAGGGCATGATCTGATATTCAGCAACTGTTTACCGACATCTATGTTGTAACTAAAATTGTATGTGTCAGAACCTACCTTTTTTTGTACAACCTGCTTCATAACAGTGAGCATTTTGGATAGGCGAATAAACAAAAATAAATTTACTTAGGATTATATTAAACCAATTTTGAATAAACCAAAAAATAGCATAATCTTATTGTTTCAAATGTCAACTCTTGGGGCAGTTGAGATTAAAGATGTCTTTGCTACTCTTTTTGTTGATGTTCATCCACAAAACACACAGTTCCTTCCACTATACAGAATTTTCTGTGAAGCACTTTGAGACGTCCTCCCGACTTGAAAGGTGCTATATCAATAATAATAATAATCCTTGCATTTGATATAGCGCCTTATCATGTTTTCAAGATGTCTCAAAGGGCTTCACAGAATATTATCTTAAAGTGAATTGACTGTATATTTTCTGGGCAAAACGCAGCAGCCAATTGTACACAACAGTGTCCCACAAACAATCGTGGATTAAGTGCCCAAATTTTTATTTTTAAAACATTTTTTTGAAGGGATTATTACCCACAGAAAAGCGATCCGCCAATCGACTAATAACTGGGTTCCTACTTATTGCAAGGTAAACAGAGGAATGTGGAGTAAGGAAACTTGCCTAACATTTTGCCCTGCCCGAGAATTGAACCCCAGGTCCTCTCACTTGCGAATCAAGTGCTCTAACCAATACCCCACAGGACTTCACAATGTAAGGATTATTATTATTTTATTAAATAGCTTTCAAGAATCTTATTACGAGCTGTTTGGAATGTCAGTGCAAGTTGCAATGAGGAAACTCACAAAGATGGTTCGGATGAAACGCCATTTGGCTATTTTTGGTCATCTCCCCATTCCAGAACACCGACCTATTAGCTTCCTGTTTGGAGCATCAAATTGTTTCTGAAATACTGTAGCAGCAGACATACTGGACAGGGACTCTAATACTCTAATAGTCTCAATCTGGTGGGTACCACAAAGGATGAGCTTCATATTACAGGTTATTCTGTGATCCTTTTCATTGGATTTTAATTGCCTGTGTACACATGTGATAGCATATGGTTTACACAAGTCACAAATCAGACATTGTTATGTTTATACAGTACGTTGAGAAACACCTTAGCACTTACTTTCTTTCGGTTTTGCTGTGACAATTCACTACATTTACAGTGTTGTGTTAATACTATGTCCTAAAGGCTTATGCAGAAAAAAATGTTTCATGTCTAATGCATGAAGGTAATTCTCATACAGTGCATAAATATCAGCTGTGGTTTGTTGAGGAGTTTTAAAACATTAAAAAAACAGAAACTGCTTGCATCTTTGAATTATAAATGCATTTGTTTATTTTTGAACTTTGGTTGCTAACAGATATAGGTATTGATGTATTTATGAAAAGCATACCAGACTCTTGAAGTTATTTTAAATTTATGTGGGGTTTGAACAAACCCAGAGGATCAGATTGTATTTAGATATTCCCTGTGATTCACCCTAGGGGGTCCACCATGATTTAAACAGCAACTTTTCAAACTTGACATTTAATCCTTGTCTATAAATCACACTTGAGACCTATTATTCATTATTGTAAGGGCACAGTTTTTTTTATTAGGAATAAAATGAAATGCAAATGCAGGGAAATATGTATTTCTTTTCCTGTCAATTTCTCAACACTGCTTCAAATATGTTGCTTCAAACAAATGATACAAATAGTTTAAAACTTTGAGACAAGTCTGTAGCGCATAGGACAAAAGAGGAAAAGCAAAGTCGCCTCAATTTCCAAAATGTTAAATTTGAAGACAGATTATAAGCATGTTTTGATATTTGATTTATAGTCCAGGAGTTGCATAATGCCTTTAGACAGCTACATATGAATAATACAGTTCATTTCCTTGTAGTTATTTGTCATGCCTGCTGTTACTTTCTTGGAAGAACCTTTAGAGAACTCACTATCAGGAACTGATTAACATCACCTCAGGTATTATTTCCCACAATGTGATGATCCCAACACTTTCCAGAAGGTATTTTTCTTTATGTCAGCATCTGCTCTGCCTCACACTTCAGAATTTGCAATAACCGTGGAAATGTATTTTTGACAAGCTCGAACAAACAACCTTTTCATACTACTGGTGCCACTTAAAGAAAATTAAGTCAACGTGCCTAAGAAATCAGAAAACCTACATTCAACTACATGCTAAATCTTTGTGTTTCATAGCACGGTAAATGCTACTGCCTAAACCCCTGAAGGAGCAAGTTTTAACACACATTAAGTGCATTTGTTTTAAACACAGGAGGTCACTTATATTCATTGTTTGTGATACTTTGTTATGAAAAAATACTCTGGGAACATTTATTAAATATTGCTGACATTCAGTTATAGCTTCACTGACAGCACATTGTCACAGATTATTCTGCTGGATTATTGCATAGTAGTCACAGTTTACAAACAGAAAATTGGCTAGTCAGGTGCAGTGTGACTTGTGGTTGTGACTGATGTACACAAGGAGAAAACTTTCTGTTCTTTATACAATATATACACATATATCACTACAGAGTTGGTTTACCCCTTTCCTTATTGAATAAGGAAAATACATTTCACCAACAAAAGAAAATGAATGTTTAAAATTAAAATCCTTTTTTTGATTTTCATTGGTTTCGACAAAGACTGGAGCTTTGATGTTTATGGAACATTGGATTGACACTGTGTTTAAGAGCACGATAGTAGTTGACACATAACATTAATAAAGTCTGTCATCTTGATTTCCACTGAATTACTGAATAAGGTGCTATATGCTAATTTAGAAATCTATCTTTATAATTAAAGTATCTTTGTAGGGTGTCCCAGCAGCTAAAACACTACAATGTCGGGCTCCCAATTAAGAGACCCGAGTTTAAATCCCAGACTTACTGACATTTGCACTTGGGCTTCCCCTAGGGGATGAGTTTGCCAGTCTCAGCCAAGTTGTCTGGGGGAGGGAGGGAAGAGTGACTGTGAAAGGATACCTTCCCGCATTGCTCAAGTGTGTGTGCCTCCTGGCGAGTCATCTGAGAAATGTCTGTGTGCATGTTTGTTGAATGGACTGCCCCAACCTATCATTGTGGACAGCATGTGGAAAGAGGAAAAAACAGTGCCGTATCTCAAAACCTCTATGTTCAGGGGAGGAGGAGAATGTAGGTAAGATTTAAAAATGTGTTCCTTCCTCCTTTCTCTATTACTAACCATAACCATGATTACTAACCATAACCATTACTAACCATAATTCTGGATATTAGAACACCCCCAATTCTCCCAATCTTAGCCTGAGAGTTTCGCCCACAAAATATACAATTCACTTTACAGTATATTCTGTGAAGCGCTCTGAGACGTCTCAAAGTTGTGATAAGGCACTATATCAATTGCAACAATTATTATTATTATTAAGATTATTGTCTCTAATAATGCAGAATTTTGGAAAATTGCTAATAACTGTGGAGAGAGAGAAAAAAACACACTTCCAAATAAAGATGGAGTTCAATAATTTTCCCAGATTAAATTTTCAGACAGTAGTCTTGTGGCTAAGGCCATGAGATGTTTGGGTTTACGGTGTACTGCATGACTTGTTTTGCCAACTGCTTCAAGTGAAAACTCAACCCTGTTTATTTCATTTTGTGTGTGTCCTTGGAGCCAATTTCAGCATACTGTGAAATGAAGTTTAAGATTTAAATGTTCAACTATATCATGTTATTTTTATTCTCTAGATTTTACCTTCCCAACATGATGTTAAACCAGGAATGGTGTTGATCTTTGAGCTGTTTCTGCTGCAGGGATCAAATATTCACATTGATCGGGTAGTCGGATGGGGTGCATTTCCCATCTGCAATGCTCATTTTGAGATTCTGGAAGGAAAGTTTAAATGTCCTTTTCTAAGGGGTCATCGGGACTCCAAAATAGATGAATTCAAAAAAATCGAAGGGCTTATATCATCAGATTTGGATCACTGGCTGTGCAACCTCTATTTTCAGGTAAAATATTGTGAAAGTGATCATTGTGATTCTGGTTGTAGAAGTTGTGCAAAGTGTTTTGTAACACTTGTGCAAGATCAAACAACTAATGGACATAGTTTCTCTTAAAATATGACACTATTCCTTCAAGGGTGCAATAATAGGTCAACATTTATTGTTTAAATGATCATATTTTGCTTAAAATAGCACAATTATGAGGCATTGTAGCACTAAGTTCAGAATGTACCATAAAACAAATGCTAGTTATTATTCATATCAATCATTTTCTGAGGCCTCCTTGTTTTGTTTCTGTTTGCATTGGTTATCTTTCACTCATGCATGTACAATTTAGAAAAATGAACATGCAGAAGAATAGAACATAAGACATAAGAATTGCAAGACAAAAGAACACCAAAACATTATTTCCTAAAAGAAATCTATCTAATTTGCCTTTGAAATAATCAACACTTTCTGCTTCCACTGTCTCTCTAAGGAGCCTATTCCATACATTTACTACTCGCTCAATGAAATAGTGTTTCCGCAGATTTGATTTGAATTTACTGCCATTAAATTAAATTTACAGTACTATCATTACAAGTTTTCAGTAAATGGTCACAGATCCTAGCTTGTTCCGGCTTCTGTTTCTGAAATGTAATATATGTTTTAAAGTAAATGATTTGATGCTGTAGTAGAAAGCAATAGTGAGTGGAGAATATTGTCCAGCCAAAACTCCCTTAGCACTAAATTATGACAAATGACAAAGGTACAGATTTTGAGAGCAATGTTTGTAGCTAGCAATTGTTAATATGTTTGAGACAGATAGATAGGGCATTCTCTGCTCTCTATGTATCTATCTCTGACTCTTTCCCTTGAAGAGCAGAAATTGTGACAGTCAATGATCATTTTTTCCCCCACCATCAGGGTGTAAGTGAAGAGCAACAAGGATGATTCTAAAACTCTTGAGTTCTAAGTTGAAACGAGAGGCAAGTAGAGTCAAAAAAGACTGGGAAGTGGGATGAGACATTGAAAATAGAGATGTGTAGAAATACGCTTCCACTATTGATGGTTTAGTGAAGTCCTATAGCTCAGTGATTAGAGAAATAGGTTAGATTCCCGGGCAGGGCGAAACGTTGGATAAGTTTCCTTATTCCATACACCTCTGTTTACGTAGCTATTGTTAATCGATTGTGGATCGCTTTTCTCGGGTTAATAATTCCTTCAAAAATAATAATAATAATAAATTGGTCACTTCAATCCATGACTGTTTGTGGGACACTGTTGTGCACAATTGGCGGCCGTGTTTTGCCCACAAAATATAGAATATACGGTCAATTCACTTTACAGTATACTCTGTGAGACGTCTCGAAGATGTGATAAGGCTCTATATCAAATGCAAGGATTATTATTATATATTATTTAGTGGAGTAGGCTTTCCTTTTTTTCCTTTACTAAAATATACCTAGCACTTCATCCTGTTTAGTGGATTCAGGTTTTTAAAAGGGTGTGAGGTCTAAAGTGTACTATTTTTATGGAAGAGTTGGAAACTGGATTGAAAGTACCTTGCTTAATCTGGAAGTAAGCGTTTCAGTTAGAAAGAGAGACATCCAATTTATATTACTGTCCTAACATATTAAAAAAAACTCTGAATCAATACAAATATATTTAACACATTGATATTCTGCACAGGGCAAGTCAATTAAATGACAGTTTATCATTGCAGCATATTTTAAAACTAAAGACCAGTAATAAAAACATCAAGTTCACATCATGTAGTAGTAATATCTATAGATTGATATAGATTCATGATTTACCATAAAAGCATGTGTACGGCAAACACTCTTTCATCCTCAAATTTTCAGGTTGCACCAATTTGGATAAAATGAACTGAATGAAGTTTTATGCTAAGCATTTTCGCAACCTCATTTTATCTCGTGATGCTGAAAGGCTATGGCCCAGATTGTCCCATTAATGGGTAGAGGAAATGCAATGCCTAAAGCAGCTTGGCAAATCCAATGCCCATGATAGACCAGTTTCAAACAGAGTGTGAAGATACATCAGCAGAGGGAATGCTAGGAAGGGGGAGGGTGGAAAAAGGCACTCTTTCTACTCTTTAAGTGAGAATTTTTATCATAAAGCTCCTCAGAACTCTTTTCAGAATGTTTGGTGCCAACTTACTTAGAAAATGTGTGGTTTTCATTCACAATTGCCCCCCCCCCCGTACACATTATGCACACTTTTATCAATCTCTAAAGGCATCTGTTCAACAGTTCTCTCTGCAACAGCCTTGACACAACCATGGAAGAAGACCTCAGTCTCCTCAGTTCCTGGCCCTCTCTGACCAAAGCCGTCCTCCCAGAGTGAAGAGGTCTTGGGGTAGATCAGGTTACCACGTTTATGCTGCATAGACTATTACCTTTTTGGGTGACTTCCTAGTGGCCTGTCACACTACCAGTGTAAACCCGGTTACAATACTAGTCAATGAGGCACTGCACAATACTCATTTTATGTTCTGATACCATTTATGTTGTTTTCTCTTCAACTGTATTTAACAGTATTCCATACTTTAAGAGTTAATATTCTAAAGAAAAACAATTTGTTTGAAATCCATTCTACAGATAATAAAGCTTCCAAAATACCTCCATGGACAGAATGAGTATGAGGTGGCACTCCAGCTTCCTGCACACTTTCTAAGATCATCTGAGTGCTTTTATACCTCTGAAAAAGATGAAACCGATAGAAACATCTTTGATATCAACTCTTGCCCAAAGACAGCTCGTACTCAGAAATCTGATGGAAAGGACCTCAACCCACAGTCTCGCTCTAGATGCTCCTCTATTGCAGAAGAAGGTTAGTGATCCAGTCTGATTTTGTGTCTGAAGCTGCCATCCAGCATTATGAAGTGCTTTAAGACATCTTCCAATGTGAAAGGCACTATATTGTATTGAATTTTTCCTAAAAATAAATCAGCTAAAGTGATCTTACACCAGTGGTTTTGCAGCCCTCAAAATCCCTATAGAGCTATCCATTGGAAAGCATGATATATTCTTGAAGGATGCTTGATGAATAATCTCTTTCCATCTGACTGCTAAATGCTGCTTCATTTTTCATTTACTTTTGTTTCCTGTGTTTAAAGCCTTAAGTGTAGCTATGAGCCTCGCAAAGAAACATGCCATAATTTATCAGTGGGAATCTATCTTGCATACAATAGTGATGAGTTGCAAGGAAATTTAATAATGGATAAACAAACACAAGGCGTGTTCATTTAATTCAAATTAAAACATTATTAAATGTTTGGTTGATGAATTCTTATCATTAAAACGGTTAGATGCAGCAAATATTTGAATTAGAAGTTGCCCTATGCCTCTATCACAATCTGAAAGTCTGCTTCTCTTGAATGCAATAAAATCCTTGGCACAGGGAATTTGACACTCACACAATAGTTTGGCCAAAGTGCAATGTATCTAGGCCAATATGGTTAATGGCAGCAGAATTAATGCTGCTTTTATATTGCTGGAAATAACTTGTAATGTCTTCCAGTAGAAGCGCAATTAGAAGCTGGAAGTAGAATTTGCTTGTGTTGAGGCGAGCTCTGTACGTGTGCAACTAAGTGCGCATTTGTTAATGTTATTGAAGAGCCATCGAGAGTGCAACAGGTTGACCCCTACCATTGAATATGTCCTCAGTGATTTTTGGTACTGGGCTTTTAGCATTGATTCAGTGCTTTGAATCAATACAAACAGCACAGTAATAAATAGAGCATAATATATGGTGTAACATATTACTATTGTCCTTGCCCAAGTCCTGATAAAAAGAGAAGGACTGATGAAGAGGATGATTTGCCCCATTTGATTTCAGCCTTCCAGAAAACCATGCCAAGAGATTGGTTACTTTCTTGGGGAATAATTTCCAAAATTGTCATGATAGATGAAGGATTAACCACACATAGTTTCAATGGGTTAAAAATTCTTATGAGTATATTCTGTTGACTATTTAAACACATTTTGTTCTTTAATTAAGGACTCCGTTAAAATATGTTTCAAAATACCCCGCTCCCCAGCTTCTAAGTAATAGTCATGCCCAAAGCTGACTGAAAATATTGCAAGACACCATCTTGGATTCCCACTGTTTTCAAAGTAGGAACATAAATCCAGGTGCTGCTTTACAGGATATTGATCTAATTATGTCCTTGTCCTGTAAATTTGCATTTAAAGGTCACAGTTTGAAATCCATGGCCGCTAAAATGCTGTTTAAAAAAACAGCCGGAAGGACCCGTGTTGCCATTTCATTCGGTCAGCCGGGTATAATGATAATAATAATAATAATCCTTGCATTTGATAACGCTTGATGTCACATCTTCAAGACGTCTCAAAGTGCTTCACAGAATATGCTGAAAGTGAATTGACTGTATGGTTTGTGGATGAAACGGGGCAGCCATTTGCACATAGCAGTGTTCCACAAACAGTCGTGGATTGAGTTTCCAAATTTTTATTATTATTTTTTTTTTGGAATGGATTATTATCCCCAGAAAAGCGATCTACCAATCGACTAACAACCGGGTTACTACTTACTGCTAGGTAACAGAGGCATGTGAAGTAAGGAAACTTGCCCTACGTTTCGCCCTGCCGGGAATCAGACCCAGTTTCCCTACCTTGTAGGCAAGTGCTGCAACCAATACGCTACAGGACTCTAATCTGACACATGCAGACGCCCCTCACCATTCCTAAAAGTATCCAATCCAGTCTAAGAGGGATTGTATACTCTTAGGCATAGAATTTGCCCTGCATTTGTAATGGAATGTGTTCCCTCTCCCTGGAGGGTGCACTCTGCTTACATAATTTTAGAAAGTAATATATGCAGATTGTCGAGATCTAAGGTTTGTGTACCTCAGAGTACACATTGGGATACTAGCTAAATGGCCATTGTTCAGTGCACTCATGATTCTGCAGGATGACACTGAATGGACCTGCAAAAGAAGTTGATGTGGATTGCTGAAATGATCTATACAGGCGTTAAACACTTAGTTTTAAAGGGATGTATTTCAGCAGAGTTGCTTGTGTCAAATACTAATTAGATTGACTCTTGTTTAAAGTTGCTATAAAGTGATTTACCCAGAGGTTACAATACAACAAATATTGACTTGTAATATCCTGGCTATAAGTTACAAAATGACCTCTCGTGTGAGTCCGGAAGATTAATAATTTGCCATTTCACAGGGGAAGCATGACCTCTTTCAACATTAGCTTATGTAATTCCCAAATAAGTACTGAAAATAGTGAGACACAGGAGGTCATAAAAATGTGGCAACCATTAGTGGATTACCCAGCTTTGTAATTATTGTGTTCCTGATTGGTTGCAAGGGAAACCTAAAGTCACAGCCTGTGTACAGCTGCATTACAGAACCTATCGTTTTGTTAAACTTAGGACCTTTCCCAGATTAAAGCTCCTACACAACAGACTGGCAGCCATTTATATTATGCATTGACCCACTTAAAGTATCATTACACTGGCTCTGAAGTTCAGAGGTCTGTGCTAACTTGAATAAGATCCCATTAAGATATCAACAAGGAGTCTAAGATGTGTGTGGTCACTTGACGTGAATATTGCTTGCACCCTTCTATGTTTCAGTGGGAAATGTGCAAAGCCCACGACTGAGCTGTTGACCTTTATTCCCAAAGGACACTTTTTCATCTCAGAAGAGAAAAGAGATATTAGAGTGTTTAAATACAGGCACTAATTGACTGCCTGTTTGAAGCAATTGCAGTGGCTGAATTCCATATGCCATGGCTGCCATCGACAGCCCCGCCAATGGTGACAGTGCTACCGTGTAAACAAAGTGGCAATGTTGGCTCTGGAAGTGGTTATGACTTCCTCCTGAGGTCGGTCTTCCTCCAAACTCCAGAGGCAACAGCTTCTGGGACAGCAGGATAAATGGACTTCTCCACTGCTCCCAGACCCACGTGTTTATCTGGCTATGTGTGGGCTGACCTTTTAGCCTGCCCCTGTAGGCCAACAGCATGGTTTAAGGATTGCCAGCCTGTAGGGACCTTCTGCAGAGATTCAGAAAGGTCAGTGGCTAGAAAATTCAGGTTGTCGACTTCTGAATTGACATGCTCCACATTGCTACCAGCACTTTGGCTTCCATCTCGCAGTGTAACTGAGGCTTGATCCTAGCACGAGCAGCCTCAGCCACAGCTATTTCAAATGGAGATAGCGCCTAGAACTATCCTGTAAGGTGATCTTGCTCATAGTCTGTTCCATGTGACCCTTGGAGTAGCTTGCCCACAGGTGTAACAGACTCGCAACAAAAGCAACAAAAACAACAACTTGTATTTATATATTTATATCCCCGCCCCCCACCCACCCCATGCAGGGTAGTGTCCCCAAAGCACCTGATGCTATACAATGCCATACAATTTACATTTATATAGTGCCTTTCACCTTTGGAAAGATGTCTCAAAGTACATTCACAGTGCTAGATGGGCACCTAAGCTAAGGGTGGGAGCCAGGGAGGATGAGGAGGTGAAAGATTAATGAAAGTGTCAGTTAGTTGCATTCTCATCTCTGAATCAAAAGGTGGTGGGTTCAAGTCCCACGACAGACCTTTCAACTCATATAGTCTAGGCTGGCACTTATATGCAATGCTAGGGGTTTGGAATCATTGGAGTTGTCATCCTATGGATGAGACATTAAATTGAGGTCACACTCCTGCAAGGATTATTTTAAATAGAATTGGTAATGATAGTACTATGAGATAGTACCATGAAATTTGGTCACTCAATCCACGACTGTTTGTGGGACACTGCTGTGGGTGATTGGCTGCTGCGTTTCACCCACAAATATACAGTCAATTCACAGTATATTCTGTGAAGTGCTTTGAGACATCTAAAAGATGTGAACAGCGCTATATCAAATGCAAGGTTTTTTTAATATATTTCTCTATCTCCACTTTGTCATAATTACACCCTGGCCTTCTATTTGCTGTCCTACATAGACAATATTTTATCCTAATTCTATCCCTATCATTGCTTAATTCTGAATATTCCGAAACTCTATAGAAATAGAGTAAATCTAGACCCAGGTGGAGTTTTTCTCCTTAAGTTTCTTTAAAAATCTACTTGAAAAGGTTTACTCAGATTGGAGAAAGAGTGTATTTGTGTCACATGATATGCTCCAAGTGAACTTGTTACCATTGCAAAGAACATAAAAACAAATCCTGTGGCTGTATTAAACGGTTACATATTTTCAGATATTTCTGTTTTTATTTCAGATTACTGTTTTTTATTTCTGTTTTTATTGCAATGTTTGTTCTTTTAATTTTTGACATTTATTTTACAAGTAGAGGCAGTTTGGAATTCCATCCAAAATAATTTTGTTAATTGTTCACTGATAACATGACTGTTGTAGCATAATTGATATAGCATGAGAAATTTGGAGAGGAAGCCTTTATGCCCTCATTAGTTTAGCAGCAGGGTATGGTCCATTGTGACAATGTTTGCTTTCCTCCATGGAATGAGAAATGAATAGTATTCTAATGGACATCATCTGTTTAGCAACAGACTTCCCCCTTAACTGGTATTAAACCACTCTGTGCTTATTTTCTTTTTTTCAAAAAAATCTAGAATACATGCTCTTTCTGCCTGTTCCTTTTTCATTCCCCAAATCTCATTGAGCCAGGATGCCACACAATACCAACATGGCCAGTTCCAAACCAGCCAAAAGATACACCGTGTGCAGAGCAGAGTAAAACACCCTAGTCATTTTCTCTTTCACTGAGCTCCTTCAAATGTGTGAGTTTTTTTTACCAATTTAGCCTGTTTATGGAACTGGTGAAAATTTCGCATTAAGGT